TATTTTATTATATCAATCTACTTTTACAATCATCATGGGTTGTTACAATATTACATGTGCAATGTTATGATTAACAATAGTTATTACATTTCGATACTTATAAAATAGAAAATTTTTAATTTATAACATGATATACATATTATGTTAGATAGGTAGCTGATTTTAATAATAATATAATAGTTTAAAAAGTCTAAACTAGTCTCTATAGTCGGTGCAATATTATTATTGAAAGTGAAACGTCCGATCGCGATTTTGTTTAATACACTTTAAACCTATTATGTAATTAGTATATTTATAAATGTTTTTTGCGGTTTTTTGTAGTTTTGCTAATGCGGTTAAAATTTTTAACGTGCCAATAATATAGTCTTCTAATAGAGAGAATTCACGCAATGAAGGAAGAAACGACGATGGTAAGAAACGAACTAGTTAGAAGAATTAAGAAACCGGATGTCTGTGCTTAAATAAAAAATACAGTAAATAATACGCGGTCATCATTCGGATTAAGTTCGTTTTGTTAGCAAATACCTAACTTGATAGATTATGGACATAGTTGTTCCATCATCATTTTGTAACTCGAATTAGAAGTATAAGAACATCAAATATTTTAATGTCATGTATGTTTAATTATCTATACTATACTATATTCAGAAATTTTAAAACCCCATTATATTTAATAGTTGAGCTTAGCTTAGTTATGTAAATACTAAATATGTAGATTATTTTTAAGAATGACAAAAAAAAAAAAACGAGGAATGTCATTAAAAAAAAAAAAAAACTTATCCACCTTATTGACAATAATTATCAGCAATCATTGTAGAATGTAATTTTTTTCGTCTAATGCTATTATTTGAAATTATATATTTTGTCAAGTGTTATTAATTCTATGATAATATTATGTTGATGGTAAAACAGTAACTGTTTAACTCTAAAAATTAAGTTAGGTGTTTACTTAGTTTAGTATTACTTAAAATAATGTTGTAATATCAGATATACGTTTTAATAAAAAAATTAAAACTCTTTTTAATAAATTATTATATATATATATTATATATCATGCATTAAATACAAAATATAAATGTATAATATTCGAAATACTTTATTTAATATCTTTATAAAAAATGTATTTTGATGATAAATGTTCTATAGATTGTTTTTACATTACTAAAATATAATTATTTAATTGTTATGAAAAAAAAAAAAAAATGTATAAATATGTACAGTTTTTTTGAAGATATATGACATATAGAAGCGAATTTCTAAAGCCTGTTTAAAACTATGAAGAGCGTCTTTATATAAAATGCAGATGCATATTATTTAATATATCTTATGAGAACCAAAAATGAATTTAGTTATTATTTTTTTTTCGTGTTTTTTTTTTTTTTTTAATGATAACACATGTGTGTCGAACTTCACAGACAATGTCATATTTTAGTCATCAGATTATTTCCAGTGTCAATCTATAAAGAATATAGTATACATACACAATGTTATACTCTATAATGTAAGCCATTTTAAACGTATTTTACTTGTTAAAAACTATAATACGGTCACTAAAATTTAACATTTTATAATAAATATATATTAATAAAAAGACAAAAATAATTGTAAAACTAATATATATATAATATTAATTGTATTTGTTTCATGTCCTTATCATAAGTGAAAACCACAATCTTACATGTTTTATATTTTTAACTATATCGTATGTAGATACATAAATAAAATATATTAATATACTATTTATTGGAGTATTTTTATAGACTATATAGATACTAACTATAAACTTCTAACGACTTATCACTTTATGTCCATGTTATTCTAAAAATTCAAATATGTTGTTTATATTTATACTAATTTAATTATTATTTATTTACTTTTTACGGTTTATAGCAATTAGTAGTTAAACAATAAAATAAGTGAGGTATTATAAGATTCATTGTAGATATAATTTGTCTATAATAAATAATATTGTTATCTGAAAAATATTATCTCTTCAGTTGCTAGCATAAAAATTATAATATGTTATATACTTATATAAGTTTTAAAACAGTTGTATTTTTATAATCGAATACCAAATATTTTGTACTATTTTTATTTCTTAATAGTCTTTAATACAATTTTCAAAAACACATTATTTTGTCAATAAAATAATTTTATGTTAGTCGGAGCACTTTACCAGGCGGTGTGTAAGTGGTAAGTAGGTATTATTATCTGTACATTTATTAATGTAATAAATTGATAATTATGTATACAGGTATTTTAAATTCAATATCAATTTAAAAAATAATAAATCAAATGACACGTGTTTAATATGTTCTTCAATAAATTTATGTGGAGAAAGTGGAGAGTTAAAAACCTGTTTCAATATTATAATATAAAAACAATACATACATTTGCGAAAAAGATCAAACATTGTGCTATTGATTAATAATTTATATAGACGACAGTTGATTAACAATATTATGCAGGTATTAATTAATATTCTATGAAGACGACGTGTATATCACGTTTTCATCATAGGTTTTTTGTAAATGAAACTATGCTATAAAAACCTGTAACATCTTTCATGACGTGAAGAAGAGTAGGGGAAAATGTTGTACTTTATCGCACAAGAAATTGGAGGTAATTGTTAATAATTATTATAGACATTTTATCGATAAGATGTAAAAATAAAAGTAAGAAAGCATCTAAACTGAACGGAATATTTGAGCGTGTAACTCAACAAATACCTGTATAATATTAATATATTATTATTATTTTAAATTTTAGAGATATCGAAAGGTAAGTATGGAAATTGTTTTATCTTAATAATTTTTGAACATTACAGTATTACCTTTGGTCGAGTAATCGATGTTTAATTAAATCAATCGTTGCTTATGTATTTAATTTTTTGATGAATTTCTACGATTTATAGTAGGTATACAATTTTATGTATATAAAAATTAAAATTAATGTACTTAGTACAACTATTTCTTACTTAAGCAAGCTATCAATTTATATGCAAAGAATATAATAATAATATTTTAATACTCATATATATGTAAAATGTAAGTACTAATTATATAGTAAAATAGTTTTGTCATCAGGATTATTATGAAATATTATTTATATTTTTGACTGACAATCAATTAAAAATTATTAATATCGGCTTACCCTTATCATCAGCAATAAACAAGTTTCTATAATATATACACATACGTATATACATAACTGTATTTTTGTTACTTTGTAAAAGTAAAAAAATAAACAAAATTTACATAAAATGTTGATATTTATTTTATAGTTTTCTATTACTTAGATAGTTATTATTAATTTACATATTGAATAAACATATGAATGCTGTAAACTGATTTAGAAATTTTGAATAAAAACTGAGTACCTATAGTTTTCCTAAACATACTATGACATTACAACCTGAAGTTCACAATTAATTTTTTTTTTAAATTAAAAAAGATAATATTAGTATATTCCGAGTATCGTAAATTATAAAGCTATAAGAGTATAACATTTGGCATAAAATCCGGATTGCACGTTTTTAAGGGTTTTAGAAGAAATAAATAGGGGAGAAAAGTTATTAAACTATTATAGAGTTATTTTTTCAAGTTTTAAAAATGTGATGTGTATCTAATAGGTTCCTATACTTGTGAATTGTAGAATGAGAATACCTTTTTATCACTCAGTCTCAGTTGTATTGTTTTTATTTTTAAGAATCATTTTATATTACCATATAGAGGGCACTAAGACGAAGGGACAATTCTCATAATATAAAGCCATAAACTTTTAACAATGTTTTGTTTTTAATTTTATTTGTTTGTGTACGAGTATAAGAATATAAGTATTCAAACAAAAGGTTAAACTATGTATATATACTTATATAATATATTATATACTATATTCGTGTATGTATGATCAATTAATATTCAAACTTTAATATTTTATGTTCCATCTATAATTTTGTACGTGATAAATAAGAATTAAAATCTCAACACTATTGTTATTTTTTTAATATAAGAAATTAAACACAATATATTATTTTTGACAATTTTGGTTCACTGTTTAAAGTTATACGTTATAAATTAAATATTTATAATTTTTAAAAATGATAATTATTTATTATTTAGAATCACAATATTACAATAGTAACTGTAAAATTCGTTTAAATTGTCTGGTATTTTTATCTCAACATTTTCTATCAAATTATTTATGACTAATGTATTTTACTAGTAAAAGGTATTATATAAAAGTACATTTAAAAATATATTTATCAACTTCGTCAACCATAATCAAGAGATTTAATATAAAAAATATAAAACTATAAATACATTTATAAATAATCACATGTTTTAAATGCTTATTATTTGTTTTGAAAACAAAATACGTGTTTTTGAGTATAAATCATTAATCAATAAATATTATTATTCTATATTATATTGGTATTACTATGACTTAGAGATTTTAATTTGCATTTATTTACTCGCAGTGTCGGTGTTGAACTCTTGGTATTAATTTGACTATATAACCTGAAATAGATGGCACTTAAAAGGGGAAAATATCAAAATGTATCTGTATAGAGGACGACTCTTAGCCCTCGGGACATCGAGGGCTGAAAAGAGTGCGACGAAACTACGTTAGTAAGGGGAAAATTTTTATTACTGCTACAATAATCGTGGTGCGATAATAATAATATTGTACTAATAAAAAGTGAAAAAATAATTTCAGAATGTGGTTGTAGTGGGAGGTTGGAGCAACACCGCATCGAGGGCGTGATTGAATTAGACATAAGGGGAAAATTTAGTTTTTTTTTTTTTTTTGCTGTTCGTGTACAATAATTATGGCGCGACGATAATAATATTGTACCGTCCGCTTCCCGTGGACGGTTAGTGGCGGGGCAACAAGGAAAAAACCGTTGCGGGCGCCAGCTGTGCCACGGTGCTCCCCTCCACCGCTGACATCAGACCCCACTGCTGGCAACACCGACACCGCGTGGTTCGCGGCGTACGTTCTCGAACGGACCGGCGCGAGGACCGCGTTCAACACCGCTCCACGGGACACAGACCAGTCGCGGCGGCCATTTGCGGATGCGTAGTCGGCGGTACCGGTTGTTCGTGTCGTGTTTGTACGTGCGTGTGCAGTCCTCGTCGAGTGCGACGCGAATATTCGCAATAAAATTTATATTATTTTTGTGTCGATATAAATGATAATATTATCAGTCGTTTTTGATAACGTGGAAGATTTTTGATTTCATCGCGCTGGTTAATGTGTTATACCGTCCGTTTTTCTCATCCGTACTATTGACCGATCTTCGGTCGACGACTATCTATAATATTATATCCGCTGTTTACATCGTTATCGTTGTTGTAACCCCCATAGAGGTATATTATGCGATTCTCGAAATTTTATTTTTGTATTTTATTAAAATTGATAACGGAAAATAAAATTTACTGTAACGTTTGATAATTCGCTTCGATTTGTGGCGGGTGTTTTCGGTCGAAACCGCCGACGGAATAGTGGTAATTTGTGTAAGAGTTATTTAAAAAAAAAAAAATTTTTTTACTTATCTCACGGGTGGCGTCACACGCACCCGCATTGTGCGCGTTTCCCACAACCGTGTGCCGGCATGAAGGAGGTGGTGTCCATTAACCCGTCGCCGCCGTCGCAGCCGCAGCTGATAAGGGCCAAACAACCTGGATACTTGGACCTGACGGCCGAACAGATAGACAGACTCATCAGTAAAGATCCCATTGACAAGGATTACGACGTAGAAACTGAACCATTTGCCAGGTAAAATATGAATTATATTTTAATTCCTATTAGTATTGTACACCGAGAACATATTTATTTTTTTTTGAGATTTTAATAATGCTGCGAAAACCCTGTAGGAAAGAAACATATCTAATACAATATAATGTCAGTTATCAGTCCATTTTATCTGTGGATCGCATATCATAAAAAAAAAAAAAATAGTACCTACTTATCACCGTCGATTGGGTGAGAACTGAAAAGTCAATTTTTTTTTGTACACGTGCGCGTTGCTACACATATGAAAACCCATTAACAATAGTCAATAATAAGTAACTGTCGTTTTTGGTAACTAGGAATGATTTACTATAAACCAATGTATATCGGATCATTATATATTATAATTTATAATATTTTCTCCGAGTGCATTACGCTTTGTTTCATAGTGTGAGGTATTTTTTCAATGATATAATATCTGCATAATATACATCATAATATTATAGCCTTGAACGTAGCGTTCCTTTTGTAAGATTAATGCGAATTTTTATTATTTATTATTTTTTTTACTATTCTAATATTGCGTGAGTGGATTCGAAATATACGCATATACTACACCTATGTGCGTTTTAGTGGTACTATACACGTTTGTAATAAAATTGATGAGGTTTAGCCCATTCATTCTACTGTACTGTATAAATAAAATGTGTACCTACTGCAACGCTACAACTGCTGTTGTACGTTATGCTTATGACTCATGCCGATTTACTCACACACTGGTCCGGCAGGTATAGCGCGGCGGCGGCGTGTCTTTATCGCGTTTGGGATAATATAATAGTGTAGGTATTACTACTACCTTCAGTGTTATTTATGTAGGAGGGGAGAAAAAACGGTTATTCTGACGATGAAATGTTGCACATTTTATCGCCGTAGCGTGCTCTACCTACGCGTCTTTAGGGTGGTTAATTAAAACCTCAGAATTCTAATTTTATTTAGGTAAATATGTATACAAAATACTCATAAGTATACATATACGTACGCTTATAAATATATATTTAAATATGGTTATACATTTTCGAATTCAATTTATGTTAAACTTGTTTGTTTTTTTCCGTCGGAATTTATATTTTATTTCATTGTATACGTATGTTATGTGTGTACTCGTATATTAAACGGCCCCTATAATTGGTACTCGTAAATCTTCTTCGGAATTTCTATATATTAACTGACGTTAAAAAAAAAAAAGGAATACAAGGGTGGGTGGCCGGCATGCGACCGTGAATGAGTTTGTATATAATAATAATGTAATACATTATATAAGATTCGATGTTTAAGTTCCGAATTAAAAGTCTGATGCTATTGGTATTTCTTATTGTTGTCAAGTGCTCGTGTGTAATAACGATTGTGGTAGGTACGTACCTAAGTGATCTATTAGTAGTAAGCATCCGTTCTACGTATTATGGAATAAAATGTTGCATTTAATTTTAATATAATAATGATGTATATTAGAAAATTTGATTTAAGATCAAACTTAAAATTTATAATAATAAAATTACTATTCATAAAATGATTACACACCACTATTTATTTGTATTTTATATCGGTGTGGCATAAGTGTATAATTTATAGTAAGTACAATAATATCAAAAATATTAATTGTAAGTAATAGCCAACTATATACATATATTAGGTATATATAGTTTACAATAATAAGTGTAACATAATCATAGTTTATATTGTTTATAATTTCTAGTTTTTAAGAATAAAATAAAACAATTATTAGTAGTTTATTAAATGATTATTTTATTTGACATTAACACGATAAATATATTTGTATAACGTCATGACTTTGGGTTAAAATTAGTCTTAATACAGTCATTGTTCTGGTTATTTTATATTATCACGATTTTGAACTTTTTGAATGGGTACTTATTTAAATGATATTTGAATAAAATCTACATTTAATGTATTTACTCAAATTTTCATCACGATTTTTCAATTATTTAGTATGCATTAAAATATATTTATACTAAAGCATACCTAATTTTAAAACAAAAAAAATAATAAGTTATTCGTGTTAACTATATTATTTAAAGATAGTGTAATATAAACAAGTGTTCCATTAGTTTTCACATTTTAAAATGACTTGTATGAGTATATAAAAGTTACATATTTTTATTTAATTGTTTGATTTCATTTATTAATGTTTTGACCTCTATGTATACTATCTATATGTCATTTCATTAAATTTCTAAATATCGATTGAAAAATCTTTTAATTTGTTTGTGAGTGCATAAAATGTTTTTTATTTCATGGTCAGTCATTCTGAATTGATATTTAAATTTGATCAATTTATAGCATTGAAACAAACTATTGACTAACACTGATTGTAAGTGCACTATTAATTACTAAGGATACGCGTTGTAACTAGGTAGGCACAATATATAATTAGATATTGGTTTTGTTTTTTTAAATAATTATGCTTGCTTTATAGTTGAAAACCATGAACTGCTGTAAAAGCAGCTTATAAGTAATTTTTGTTACCTACTGTTTGTTATCCACGCGGGAATACAAATAAGTACGTTCAGTGTATTTAGACGTTGGTCGTATGAAGGTAGTTCTTTGAATATACGAGCTTTGTCATTTTATTTTATTTTATACAGGTAGGTATCTACGTTTACCACTGCAGAAATTATACTATTAATGATCATCCTATTATTTAACGCACTTATATTTGTGATGTAAAAATTAAAAACATTTGTTTTCACTCTGTATGAGCCATCATATGCACATTATATTGTATAGGTACCACACGAGCAGACAAGTATTTTTTTTCCAAACAATAATAGTATCGATTGGATTCGTGCGGCGTGTATCTTGCGTCGCATAGCGTCCGTCCTTGGCAAGGTCGCCGCTGTGCACACCGAGTTGGAGGAGGACACCCCGGCGCGGGCGCACTCCGCCACGGATGCCGTTCGATCCTCCCGACAGACGCCGCTTTAGTAGCTATAATTGCATTGCAAATTATTTTCTGCCAACTCTTCGTGTCGCCGTTGGTGGGAGAGATGTGTACGATGGAATGCCATCCGTCGTTGTGTGTATTTATTTGTGCGTGTCTGTTCGTATATTTGTACTAAGTGTGTGTACGAGCATATTTGTTTGTGTGTACGTGTGCGTGTTTTCTACGCGCAGATCGACTTAGCGACACGAGGAATGCGGTCCGCTCGGTGAAAGCACACGCACTGCGCGTATATATTAATATTATATGCATCTTGTAGACAAGAAAAAAAAGGGAAGAAAAAAACTGGATGTTATAACGACTTCGTTTCACCGTCTTTGAACCTTCCTCCCATCACAGCTCCGTGGATCCGTCCTAAGGCATTCGCGAATTATTATAAGTACCTACTCTCGGTCTACCTATAAATATATCAATATCTATTTATAATTAGGTTGGATCATCAGTTTTTGTTAACTTATTATTTTTCCATCTGAAATCTAACCTGAATATCATCGTCTTTGTGCGATTTTTGAAACTGCCTTGGCGCCATCCATTTGGAATTGTATGTAATTATGAACTGTGAATTCAACAACGACAATCCCTGTGGATAGATAATGTATTATACGTGTAAAATATGTGAATTTACTTGTTACATTTATATATCTACTAAATGCATTGTAGTCTATATTACAGTGATGATCGGAATGAGTTTCAAAATAAACGTAGTTATGCAATTACTGTGGCGTCATGTTAAACATTTAATTAGTTGCCTTATAACTCATTGTTGTATAAAATATATCTATAGTGCGTTGTTGGTACTATTATACTATACACGCTTACATTATTATACCTATTATTATTTGGTCTCAAAGTTGCATAATTCGCATTCTTTGTCAACAACATAATAATATGATCTGTCAAGTTTTTGGAAGATTCCCAATTCTGATGGTGTATTTGATTAAATAAAAACGTTGCACTACCTTCACTGCAATTGACAACACTAAAATCGGTGTGACTTTCTAAAATCTCTTTCGAGACCGCATTCTGTTTTTATTCACGTATTAATGCATTTTGTGGCCGCAGGGTCATCATTTTATTGATCTTGTAAATAAATTTAAAATTTACCTATTTTTTGCGATATTATTAGTTTTATTAGTTGATCGTTTTTGAATAATTATTCAAGTATAAAAAAAAATACGTTATTGGTTTTTTTTAATAGTCCATTATGTATCAATATATATTTAATTAAATTTAATTAAATTTTAAATAGTTTATAATGTATATATTATATTTACCTACTAATATATAAACTTAAACATTATCCTAAGATAAATTAAAAATATTTATAGGGTAAAAATATATAGGTAGTTTTAACGTTTTATAAATAGGTTCATCAATTAAATGAATTTAGTATATAGGTATTTTAGGTTCTTACAAGAAAAATAACAGTATTGTAATAGAAAATCTTTCCTTCTATCAATCAAAAGTAATAAACGAGGTAATAAATATTATTTTTTATAAAAAATGATAATACAATTTACCATCAGTTCATCGTCATATTATTGTATTTAAACGCTTTTTTTTCCTCGTTAGTTAAACTCCTATCACTTGGACTTGATTAAACTCTTTAAAGTTATTATTTATTCGAGTAATAAAATATTACTGGTATCATTATATGAAAAGATCCATGTTCTATAAATTGTTTTGTCATCAATTGTGCCCAGAGATCAGCTAGTAGTTTCGCCAATTATTAATTATACTTTGTGCTCTATTAAAGTATATTTTCTTTCTGCCGGATACAACAGTACATGCAACTACCACTTATAATGCTTTTGGATTTGTGTTGTTGGTAAATTTCCTTGGTATTTTCGTTCAAATTAAACTGTAGGTACAGTTATATCTAACGAAACGCTATTGTAAAATTATGTATAGGCCCGCGGTGTACTTGAATAATACAGAAACCCGCTTTCAAAAACCACGACTTCCGGTCAACATTTGACGCCGCCGGCCAGCGCAGTTAGCCAGGACATCAAACAGCAACCTGTGC